CGGGGCCCTTGAATTGGCTTGGCAAGGACTTAGGGGACAGGAGTACAGGAGGGACGCTGGGAGTGAGACTAACACAGTAGCTCTTGAGGAAAGCAGCAAGATCCACAAGGCAAAGCCTGAGCAGCAAAGACTGGAAGCAATTAAATGACTAAAGAAAAGCAAATGAGAAGAGATGAGCAGGCTGCAGCAGGTGAGGCAGGGCAACTAACCAGGGAGAGAGGAAGAAAAGGGCTGTCTGAAGAAGCTGCACATGCTGGGCTGGGTTCATTCCTCTCCAAGTCTGGGAGGGAACATCATACCATTATGCCTCCTCTGTCTGCAAATAGCTCAAGGAAAAGGTCCAAAAGGTCCCCCACCTCTCAAGACTGATTCCTATAGAGCACAGTCTACTGCTGCCACCAGACAGCCTGCTTGCTCCAGCAGCAGATGTCCATGAAGTAAATACAAAGGTGAATCCAACTCTTAACATCCATGTGGTTCTCTACTACAAAATTTCTGGCTATTCACTTTACTTGTTCTGAATAGTAAGGAAGTTACACATCCAGAAACTATGCCAAAAGTACTTTGGAAGATTACAGACCTAAGTAACAAACTGCAAGGAAATACCAGCATTTGGGAGTCTGTACACAGAGGAATTACTGAGAAGTGTAAATCTGTCTCAGAGCAGGACTGGAATAACATTAAGTAAATAGGGCATGGGGCAATGCTCTGGACCAGGAAGAAACAAAATAGCAAATTGTTAATCATTATGTGAGCACCATCCACTCCGAGCAATGAATTGAACAGGGATTTTGCAAAAAAGAAAAAACTATGTGATAGTGTAATTAAAGACTGTCACAATAAAAAACACACAAGGAGGCCAAAACTAAAGAAGATCCTTCTTATCTGGCTAGTGTGTATTTTTGCAGCACAATGAGGTCTAAACAAGTCTTTTTCTGCATGCATGCAACCTTAGTCATCACCATACCAAAGCAGTGCTGTTCTTAACTAAACTTCACTCTGCAAGCAATGAGTTCAGTTACTTGCACTGAAACAGCATTTGAAGATTTCAAGAATTAAGACACATAATGGCACAAGCATGCCTAAGAGAGAATCCTTACCTTTGTTTCTGTTTTGGGAGGGGGATGCAAGACAACCAGCACATAACACAAATGAAGCAGAAAAGCAGCATGCATCACTGTGCCTCATCTTCCAGCACATGCCATGGGAACAGAGAGATGTAATTATTTTCCCAAGATTACACAAGGGTTCTCTGGAATCCAGTTGCAGGCCAGAGCATGTAAATCCTTGTCTGAATCCAAGGCAGTAAGCACAGGGGCACCCACATCTCACATGTTTCTAGACTCTAGCAGAGCTTTCTGGTGGCCTCAGGTATCATCTGTGCATGACAATAAATATTGTCACTGACTGCAGGGGAACTCATGGCCTTCAGAAAGATTCACTCAACATTTCCTACACAGACTGTACAGACACAGCAGTAGAGAGAGCTATTGCTCAGGCTCACGAGAAAACCATCTTAACAACTAAGTTCAGAGAAGAATAAACCACAGGCCAAATCCACCTCTGCAACCCACCTCCCCAGAGGCAGCTGAACTTCATTCATAACTTCAGTTTACTAAATAGCAAGAATTCTAGCAAACCTGCTAGAATTAAAAAAAACTGCAACACCACAGAAGCAGCATCCCACAGATCCCAGGATAGCAATGACACTTACCTAATCTACCATCTTTCAGCACACACTGTACTTCCCCAAGCCTTGGGACTCAGGACCCTATTTGCCTTTTGGAGCAAACTTTTGTTGTCCTAGTCTCAATTCAATTTTAAATATCAATTAAGGGAAAAAAAAAATCAGCCAGTGACAGTGCAGCACTTCCTTTTCTCTGCTTTCACACAGAGGCAATTTATACCAACCTTTGCTCAGAGCATCACAGACTTGGAGCTTTATCCTTTATTTGTAAAATCTTGCAACCCTGAGGACATCACCAGTAAGAGGGGAAGGAAAAAGCCTAGGCTGGCTCTATTGCTTAATGTTCCAGATTACACATTTTGCTTTCCTAAAGAAGAAAAGCATTTTGACTGCTAGGCTTCCAGATGTTGCAGTAAGGTAGAAAAATCATAAAGAAAGGCTTCATAAAAGCAAGCCTACTCTTCTAAAATCAATGGCTGGCTTTGTCAGGCTAGCATTTTTTAAGTTCCCCTGTGAAAGCAGTCCTGGTGTGATGAGTTTGTTAGCATAACAATCTATTCCTGGGTGAAAAACAACCTGCACCTGTATAAACTGGTTTTACACCATTAGATAGAAAAATGAATGAAAACTATCTCTCACAAACAACTTCTCCTGCAGGTATACACCCTATTAATACAGGGTGACAACTTGTTATTAACCAATTAGCAATTGACAAGAAAACTACTAAGCAATTGGAGTCACACACAAGGTCTGTAAAACTGTATGAAAAGGAGTTATGTGAATAAACAAGGGGCTTTTTTCCACCATGAAGGAAATAGAGTCCTTCTGATTTATTCCCATACCCAGACCTTTTTCACCACAGACAATCCCAAACTGTCCTGGAATTTCTTCACCAGCTTTTGCACTGCTGTTTGCAAAGCCCTTTAAGACTTCCTTGCTATTTTGCTGTTGCACAGTAAGGAACTTTCAGGCCAGAGACAAGTATCCAGGTTTCTTGCCTTATTTTAGCCAAACATACAACATAAATTAATAGTTACCCTCCCTGCTGCTTTTCTCAGAGACACACATTGCTTTTTGCTGCTGTGCTTTGCATATGAAAGTGACCACCACTGACCTCCAAGGTGTGTAAGTGCAACTAGGAAAAACTTACCAAAATTTAAGAAAAGTTGTACCCCATCTAACAGAAAATGTTTTCCTCGCACTTTTATAACCCAGACAGTTTCATACCCACACTTTTCTATCAAATACTCTTTAACAAATTCAAGAAAAGGTGAAGTTTGCACACATGAAAGCCCACACCTGGGAAAGTGGTCACACTGTTCTGTCTATATCAGTTACAAATCTAGGACATAGCATTGCACTGTGTGGCATGGGGAAGGAACAGAAATTCAGCTGACACTTCTGCTTTTTGAACAGTAATTCCATGTTTAAGCAGAAATGTGCTACACTATCATATTAGTTAAAAAAGAAAAAAAAATTAAAAAACATTGCTACATAAGTATTGGAAATAGAAGCAGGCAGTGAGGAAAATCCCAGCAATTGCTACATAGTCCCACACTGTGTGTGCCAGCACCTTCCCTCCACCTCTCCCTGTGCTCCTCCTTCATGCTGAAGGACAGCATCTGTTTCAGCTCAACCCCTGACCACGCACACTGCACAGGGACTCGGGGAAGAAATGTTATGACCTCAACATATTTTTCCTCACAGTCTATCAAACTTAGGGCCAGTGCAGACATCCCTGGAATGCACCACATTCTGCAGAGCATTTCCACCTTCTTTCCCTCACCACTGTAAGAGGAAACAACAGCACTGCCACAGTTTAGTAATCAGATCCCATTTATCCCTGCTACAGCCTTTAGGATTTCATTGGATTTTGGATCAATGAGGTTTTGGGCCTGGTTCCCACAATGCTAATGAGTAGTGAGCTCCCACACTCTCTTTCACATACACAACACAGAGTTAAAGTGATGCTGTTGGGTACAGCTCCAGGTACACCAGCTTCTTCAGCAACCTGACCAAAAAATTAAAATAAAATACATAAACAAAAATAACCCACAAAAAACCTCATGCAACCATTCATATACATGCAAAGTAGCAGCATTAATTCCAGTCTGTGGTCCACTCCAAGGAAGGAGTCTCACCACCAGCAGACACAATAAAAATGACCTTCTAGGACACCAAAGAGAAACAGAAATTTCAGTTTCAAAAGTATGCAAGCTATTGTGGAGTCTTGTTTTTCAAGAAGCTTAGACTGCAGTCCCCAGTTATTTATACAGCTCAAAACCTTCAGAGTGATTAGGTGGCTTGGATGTTCATGGCTGGACCACATTTAGCAACACAGAGCGTGAGGCACATAGGACATGGCATAACCAAAACCATTTAAAAAAAGAAAAAAGGTAAAAAAATTAGATTCCAGTTTACAGTTGCTTCAACAAACCACGAAAAAGAGAATGAGTGACGATTGCCATTGATAGTGATTTTCAACAGGACACATACCACACCCAGAGTGAAAGCACTGAGACTTTACCCCAAACACAAGTACAAGCCTGACATGAAAATCCCTGTCTGTCCTACCCCATTTATATCATATGGAAAGGCAAATACACTCACAAGCCTCTTTCAGGTTTTAAAACTCAGGGAGATGGATCAAACCCACAATAGATTCTCGTTACCTCATCTCTGTAGCATATGCCAGCATTCCCCAAAATTGCAATAAATTGTGGTGATAAAACCTACAACTTCCTCCAGACTAACTCATTCCTTACTCCTAAAGGCAACTGGGACTGCAACCCACATATTCACTGGATAGCTGAAGATAAGAGCAAGTGACAATAAAGAACAAAAATATCTCTGCACCAAAAATTTACATAACTAGCTCCAGTTACTGCTAATTAGACCAATTCCCTTAATTCCTCCATTACATCTTCCTGCATTTTTCAGTTAGCTCTAGTAAGAAGAGGTATAATAAATTATTATTAAATAGAAACCTACTTGATCACATTGTAAGTACTTAAAAGTACAGATCAGTGCACTACTACTTTATTCTAATTAAAACCTTTACAATTAGTAATCTGCTAGTAAATAAGATACCTGAAGCCATCTCACTGTGCCAAATCTGTTCACCAATTTTGGAGCTTCTGAAATATTTAAAGCTTTTTCCCCCCATCCTTTTGCCATGCCAGAAGACCTACACAAGTCAAACAAATGTGAATTACAAGGAAATGTTGCATCATTAATCTTACAGATTCAACAGCAACTTCATATTTTCTTTCTTTTTTCTTCTATAGCAAGGATTTACTTTTTTTTTTTTTTAATACAGAATACATTTTAATAGAGAAATTGTTTTGAGTTTCTTCCTGCTTTATATCACATAATATGTCAACAGCACAACTCTCACAGGCATGCTTCCCTCAGCCACTGGGACCAAGCCAGCTCCACTTTGGGCATCCTACAGCTAACTCTCACAGCAAGTTGTTGTAAGTGTGTTGTACACAGTCAGTCACTTGAGGAGAGAGCAGCTGAGCAGCTTACACCAGCATGAGAGCCCCTTTTCAAACAGAAAGCAGCTATATACATGCAGGGCTTGATTTTTCATGTGCAGAAATCCTTCACAACACTTGAAGAGGCAGCTGCCAAAAAGCAAATGCCAACTGGCAGCGTGGAGGAGCTCACTCTGAAGCCATCCCACGTGCATGGACTCTCCAACACAGCTCTGCAGTCTTCCCTGAAGAGGCTGGGAAAGGAGAGGCTTTCCCTTTGTGTAAGAAAGGGATGTTCCCAAAAGCAGGGGCAGAGGGAGGGCGTCTGGGAAAAGTACAAAGCAATGGAGGGGAGAAAGGAGCAGTAGGAAGTAAAAAGAAACAGGAGTAAAAGAAACAAGGAACAAGATGATGGAACAAGAGAGAAGATGTTTTTTATATTGATAACCTCCAGCCCCTGTTGTGAGCATCAGTCTCTCCCCTAGTAGCAAGCAACAGAACAAGAGAAAATGGCCTCAAGATGTGCCAGGGAAGTTTTAAATTGGATATTAGGAACATTTTCTTCACTGAAAAGGTCATCAACAACAGACTGCCCAGGGAAGCAGTGGAGTCACCATCACTGAAGGTATTTAAAATATGTGTAGATGTGGCATTAGGGACATGGTTTAGTAGCGGGCTTGGCAGCATTGAGGTAATGACTGGATTTGATAATCATGGAGGTCTTTTCCAACCTGAACAATCCTATGATACTAACCATCAGGGAAAACAGAGACAAATACAAGGATCAAAGAGAACAAAAACACTAACGTGTCTTCAGATATTCTCCTCCTATCACCTCCTCCCATCTTCCCTCTCCTGCAGCACAAGGAAAAAGACAGCAGTTTCAGGCTGAGAAGGAAGGGAGCAGGAGCGGGCAGCAGTACCTGCGGAGGGCCCCGCTGGGCTCCCGGGGCGGGTGGCAGGAGCCCCAGGTGGCGCGGTGGCCAAGGCGCTGCTGCTTCCCGTTCTCCCCGCACGGAGAGCACACGGCCGGCCTCTGCGGGATGGCCCCGTTCCTCCTGGGAAAAGGGAGCAAAAGGAGGGAAAGGGGAAAGAGAAGGATGTCAGGACTGCCATTCTTTGCACTTTTACGTCTCAAAAGGTTGAACGCTACGAAATCGGCACCACACGGTATCAAACTACAACAGACAACATTGCTTTAATCCTCAAAAAAAGTCTTTGTGTGCTGAGAGGACAGTATTTATTAGTTCCTAACTAGACCTAGAGACTTGACAGCAACAGAAGATGAGCACTCCTGTACCAAGCTGTTCTCTGGACCTCTGTTAAGATGGGAAGCACTGTGGTGTCACTCCTAATTTTTTTCTCCAGAAAACAAACAACGTTTCAGCACTTTGAAACAGAAAACCAATCTGGACAGGTTGGAAGAATAAGCAGATAAGTTTTCAGCAACACATACAAGGCTGTTTTCTGCTGCCCCTTAAAGTCAAATGCAGTCATAGAATCTTAAGTATCACAAAGAGATAAATGCACAATAAATGCATAATAAATGCAACCAAAAGAGATACAAAAATACAGCACATCTGGACTAAAGAGCTTCATTCCTTCAAGCTAAATAGTGCCACATCTGGGCAACTGGCCGCCACTGAAACAAAAAAATTAACTTGAAGAGGCCCCCTGGAATGTGGGCCTATGGGAGGGGGGAGACTGAGGAAAGGAGGGAGGAGGAAGGCACAGATTTTCCTCCAGTTAATTAACAGTTGTGTTCCCTTTAGCCAGGCAGCTCCTGAAACATGCCTGTCAGGGTGTAAATGCAAGTGTTTACAAGCAAGTTGGCTGTCAGCCCCCAGAAATCTCCCTGGCTACTTGCCCACCAGTCACACCATTAAGAACTACTTATCCAGTGAAAAGAGGAGGAATCCCCTGCCGATCCATTGTACCTGCCTGCTGATTGCTAATGCTGCCAGAGGGCAGGTCTGAAAAGTGGTCTGTCCCCATCAGGGCAAGGGCTACAAAGGGAGGGAAGCCAGGATGCTCCTGAGAGTCCTTCTCCTCCCTGCAGTTGCTGCTCCTGCCTTGTGCCAGCTCTGTTTATTTAATTCACTGCAGAAACACAAATTCAGTGTTCTTTTTATAACCCAGATACACACAAATTCATGTAGGGTGTGACAGGTTACAGAGCTGGTGGGGCAGCACCAGTGGAAACACAAGAAATGATATGAGGAGTGAGACCTCCCATTCTCAGGAGCAGTGAGCTCTTACACTCTCTCATAGTTCTGCACTAGGGATGTTTTGGGAAAGAAACAGAAAAAAAACATATATAATGGTTAATATAAAAGTATTTTATAAAACAAGACTTCTGACTTTGAATGGAGATGGAAAAGAGCACAGTTATTTGTGACACTAAGTGGGTGAGGGGTACAAACTTCAAAGTATTTAATTTTTCTCCAGTGACTTTTGAGAGCTGCTAATTATTCCAACCAGAATTGGATTGGTATTTTCCATCTTTTTCCATTCTGAAAGGACAGAAAAAACATCAAAACTGGTTTTACTACTAAACATCATACAATATTTCTAAACCCATGGCATTGTGACAGAATAGTCAAGCAGATATTGTGTATGGAAGGAGTTAAGGCAGAGAAACTTTAAGACGTTGCTTCTTCAGTCAGAACTCCAAAACTAAAAATAAATGTTAGTCTTGCCATGGTGAATGCAGCATTTTAGGGATCAGTTCTTCACATCTGGTCAATTTACCCAACAAAAATAATCAGGCAGCCGGAGAGTAACAAAAAATTAAAAAAGAAAAAACCCAAAACAAAACAAACCACCACCACAAAACAAAGAATGCAACTGTGGGTCACTCCAAATCTGTCAAATGTGTACCATCCATCTAATTCAGCAGGGCAAGTCCATTTACCCCCAGTGCTGTATACCATAATAATACATATTTTAGACTAACAAGTGAGAAGATCTGAAAACCGTGAGCATAACAAGTTACTTACAATTTGAGTCCACTGTAGGAGAGGGAAAAGAAGTCATAAACCAAGCACACACCAAACACAGTGACTCCAGTTTCCTTCACCAGCATTGCACACGTCCCAAGGAATAAACTAAGCAGCAAAAAGAATGGGGAGGTGGTGGGAGGGAAATGTTCCCCAACATAAAGCTGATCCACACTCCTGAAAAACAGAATTGACATAAAGTATCTTAACTTCTCTGTTATTTTCATGTTTACTACAGACACACAGAGACACTTTTCCTTAATGCCTTAGGATGACTGACATGAACATGTCAAGACATGAACAATCTAAAATGAGAAAAGGCTTAGCCACAGGACAGGAAGGGAACACGCAAATGTGGGGAGCTGCTCGAAGTCTTGGTGCACAAGAGGTGCAAAGCCAAGCAGAAAAGACAAGCAGAAAAATAAAGTAGACTTGAAACAGTCAGAGGAAGGCAGAGTAAGTACAGAGAAGGCAGGAAAACACCTGCTTTCTCTCATGTGGAACACACAAGCTTAATTCTCCTTCTGGGACCAAAAGCACTAGGCAAGCAAAAATTCCTCCATCCCACTCACAACTATTAAGTCAGAGATGTGTCCTAATCATTAACAGACTGGGCAGCAAGCCCCTGTCACAGGGGAGAAGGCAGGAAAAAACTGAAATCAAACAGGCAGATTCCTGTGGGGTCACTATGTTTCACACCTTTGAAACCTTCTAAGAAAACAGTATTGTGGGTTTGTAGCAGACAGCCCCAGAGGGGTATCAGCAGCTTCTCCCTGTGGCTGTGATGACATGGTGCTATTTCTGAATGCAAACAATGTTATTTCAAACGATAAATAATGCAAAAGGTGCAGAAACCCCCATCCAAGTAAGCTATTTCTGTATCTATACTTGCTCAGTTACAGTTTTAGAACACAGAGCAGCAAGCAGTGCCAAGTTTTCACCTGAAAAGGATGACTAATGGTCTAGACACACTCCTTAACGCTCCCAGCCCAGGTGTTCCAGAGTCCTACAGTCACAGCATGCATTTGAAGGCAAGCATGTGTCTGCCTGCTCTTCACTCTACAGACAATTTGCCTTCCATTGAAAACATTTCTTTACAATTTTTACAAGCCCTCCTCTGCTGTGTGGCCAGCTGTAATGCCAGAGGAAGAGGGATTGTCAGTGTTGACTCCTGGTTTAATGGTTTTTTGTTCTCATAAGCATCACCATGCCTGCAAGCAGGGGCCAGGACACTTCCACAGAGCAGAGCTGTGGGAAGCACTCTGCCAACAACCATTGAACACTGACATCTGCCTCTGGTCCCCTCCTCAGACTAGAGAATCTCACGATGTTACCACGTACCTATTATAGGAGAGAAAAGCCAACAGAAAGAGTAGACAGGCGAGGACATCTGCTCTGCCTACTATACCTGTTACCTGAAAGGAAAGGAGACACACAGGTGTAGAAACACAACTAAAAATGTAAAAGCATTCAGTGACTGCCTCAACAATCCATGCTCACTGCTACTATTTTAAGCTTTTGATCTTTCAGTGTTATCCTCCCTCAGCATACCAAAATGTTATTTGGACAGTGTAGGATATGCTCAGTTTTGTCTGCTGCATTTCTAGCTTGGCAAAATAAAGGAGGAAGCCAACAGTAAAGTCATTCCTTACTTAATAAATTATTAATTAAGTTATATAGAAAATGCCAAATTTAAGGATTTGTTTTAATTTTGCATAATAAGGTTTAGATGAGAAATGCATCCAACTGCCAGTACTGAAATTTGTTAAAGAAAATTACTTACTATATAAGTAACATTTGAGTGAACTTTATCACCAAAAAGGGATAGAATTTATAGAATTTATTCCTCCTGAACAACCAGAGTTCGCAAGAGTTTTTTTCTACAGATTAATGACCAAATCGTTTTGTAAAGAAGAGAATACTGAAGAAGAATAGATAAACACTCATTTTTACAGTTATTTCAATATCCTATTTCACCCATAAAGCAAATAAAAGGCCCTTTGAAATTTTGCCCCTTTTGAGATTACATAATTAAGTTATATTCAGAGCTCTGGCATTTATTTTAACCTTTTAAAGTTCTAACCCAGACAAAAAATAAATTCTAGGAGTGCCTTATCTAAAACCTCCCTTAAAATATAAAGCTGTATTATGAAAAGGAGCCTAGCTGATTAGTTCACACAACACAGTACAGGGAGTAACTCCAAAGCTTGTGGCTTTTTGTTATTAAGGTAATCTCTCCTCAGAAGTTCTCAGCCACAGGAGCTGTTTCCCTCCCCCATTTACAAAGGCTTGGAATGAGAGCAGTGTGATGTCAGTGGTATCTCAGCTAATGAGAGCATTTCTTTTTTATAGTGTGGAGAGCAGGACATTACCATTCCTTATCCAAGACAGCAAGGCTCCTTTTAGCTATAGAAGTGACTCTTAGTGCTCACAGACTGCAGTTTTGGAATGATTATGTCTTTAAATGTTTCCTTATAACGAACAGAAAGATTTCCAATATCAGCTGCTGTTCTGTAAACTTATGCTGGTGTTTGTGAACAACTTTTTTTATTGAAGATAATTGTCCTAGATTTTAATTGAAATAAATCTAAATTAATCCACGGGTCACATCACCTCTGAGAGAGAACCTCCTGAATACACATTAATGCTACCTTCACTTTTCCTCCCTAAAACTGATGGCCATAGGAAATTACTGAAGGCATGCAACAATATCCCAGCAGGAGAGCATGGCTTCACTGAGGTCTTTGGTTTCAGAAAACTCCTGACTGTCCATTTATTCCCAGCATAGCTGATTAGGACCATCATTTAGAATTCAGTTGCAGAGCACAAAGACTACAAGTATGAATACACTTTTTTCTTAATGACTCTGACAAACTATTTTAAATAGAGCACGTTCTCACCTTTGCTCCCCCACAGCAAAAAAAAAAAAAAAAAAATCACAACATTCTGTATGGCTCAGAGGTTTCCTTAAAAAATATTAAAATTTTGAAGAATTGATTTATTTTTAGGTTTGGTGGCACATACTTACAGCCTCGGTGTGAATGGGATGCACAGCAAAGAAGAGCGCCGTGACAAAAGCAAGTCGACAGTCCTTGAACACAGCTTTGTCACAAGTGTACATCAGCACAAGAGTCACCAGACAGTGTAAAATTACATTCACTGCGTGGAAATAGAAGGGGTTCATGCCAGCCAGCAATATGTTTAACCTGGAAGGAAACAAAACAAAACCATTGCTAGATTTGAGAGATCTTCTAATAGCAAGACATCTTTCAAATACTCTAAATTATGCCTTTTGTCCCATTTGCAGTCATCTGATGTTAGTGCTATTAAACTAATTACTGCAAATCGCTCTAAACATCTGGTTTATTTGATTAAAGAGAAACCATTCCCTCAATTTTTATATTATGTGGTTGTGTTTGGCAACGTTTTTGACAGAGATGGGAGAGTCCTGTGCTCTCCCAGCAGAGTTTACTGCAGTGAGACCCGCCTGTGCTTCCTGAGCAGCAAATCACCCTGGCCAACATCATGGCACTTGTCCTATTTCCCTGTTGGCACCTTCTGTGGTTCTGTTGGCCACGTGGCAGCTTTACAATATGGGTAGTTATTTTCTGCTCTAGAATAGATTATATTGCTCAGGAACAGCCAAGACAAGGACTTGGTAAGGTGCTGGAGCATCTGCTTAGCATAACAGAGGCATTTATTCCCTATTTAACTTTCAAAACAGTGTCACACACTGAAGGTTAAGCCTTTATTTAAATGCTTTATTGGCATAAAGAAGCTTGTCTAATAGTTTACATCATTTTTACAAGGACATTGATGGCAAAGCTAAGTCAGCTAACATCACCCTAGACTCAGTGAGAAATTAGGGTTCATTATTTGTGTCGATCATTAAGAAAAAAATAAAATGCAACAAGCTGTTATGACATTTGTTTGACAGCATGTATTAACACATTCTTCTGGTCACTGTTTTTTACAGCCAGCTTGCTTAACAGCTGCTGACAAGCCTTGCCTCACCTACAGTTGAAGATAATTCTCTTAAGTATTAACAGCATCTGTACATTTGGACAAATACATATATGTATCTGCACAAATATACACACACACACACACACACAGTGCCTATCTAGGCAAGACTCGATATACGAACAAGGAATCTGGAAAGACATCTAAATAATGTTGAAGGGTATTTTTTTTTTAACAAATTACAAGATAACCAGTGAAAAGAAGACTCAATCTAAATATTTTACATGCAGCTGTAAATATGCTATAGGGTCAATAATCTTTCCTGTTGTTACTAAGAGACTCCAGCTCTCCCATGACAAGCATGATGTGACAGGGAGGCCACTCTGCTGCTGCTATTATAAAAAAACACCTTAGGTGTTTTTGTGAGACAGAGGAGGTGTGAAGAGGTCTGTGAGAGCCAGACAACTTTTTTTTTATAAATAACTCTCTACATTTCTTATTCATAAGCTAGCTGTCCTGGGTTGAATTTTCCAGGCCAATCAAATTTTACCAGACCAAGAGTCTTACTTGTGCATTCCTGCTGTGCTCCTACTGGAGTGCTTGTGGAAGCAACAGATGAAACCCAGAGAGTTTGTGAAAAAGTGAGATTTTGGCATGACTTGACCTTTCCCTTTGAAGTATGGGTTGATGCAGTTACATTTTGACAAGACATCAGTCTGTGTAATTCAAGAATACACAAAGAGTTTGGAGGTTTTTCTTTTTTTATCCCATTCCTCCTGCAAGCCACTTCAGGGCAGCAACATCCATCACTTTCCCTTATTTCTACCAGCACTGAATGACAAACCACAACAAATGGCAGTAACAGACACCCAGCCAGAGCTTCAGCTGCAAAAACACTGCAGCAGAGGGAACCCCCAGGCCAGAATCTTGCTTTCAGCACAGGGCTGAGGGGAGCAAGGGGCAGCACAGGGCCACCCTGCCCCTAAAGGAGCCACAGTTCACTCCAAGACACCTGCAGATGTGCACAGTGACAGGGACCCTCTGCAGGAGACATTCATTATACAAACGAATCATTTCTGGCTGTAAATCAGCTGGAGCACAGTCCACTGCTCCCGCTCAAATGCCAAAGTGTGAACTGGGAACCTGATTTCTGGAGGAAGCAGATGTAGGCAGGTGAGGACAAGTGCTTGGGATATCAGGTGATATGAACTCACGCACCAAAAGGGGAGAAATTCTCATTTAGTTGGCCAAATTGTGAGAACCAATCACTAAACCCTTGACATCTGACAATACTATTGAAAAATCTATCATCAGTCTCCAGGGATCATGTCTGATCACTTCCCATCCTGCAAAACAGGTCTACTGGCAGAAGAGGCAGAACTTTATAGGCAATGGATCCTCCTACCCCCATCAGGTCCCCTATCCCAAAGGTGGGGTGAGTCCTTCACACCCCTTCTTAGGGTGAACATTAAGTCAATGAGGCTTGTAAGCTGTGAGTTACCTGACGTAAATTATTGAGATGCTCTGTAAAAGCATCAGCCACACAGCTTGGCTATTCCCCGGTGTGTTCTTTATATAAATAAAAAACAGCAGAACAAAATACAAACATAATACCATGCTACTGAGGTAACTCTTCCACTAAACAGCAAAATCAGACTGTAAGTATGTTTTAAATACCATCTTTGGTGGTCCATGAACACTAAACATGAGCGTGTGCAGGTGCTATATTCACACCAGTGCTTTTTGCTGCTAAAGCTCTTTGTCATAAGAAATTAGGCCACATGGCAATGAAGGAAACATTCCTTCATCCTGAAACAATCCCAGCAGAACGATGTTGAAACGTTAGCTGTGGTTAAATTTATTGTATGTCAAACGGGTGAGCAAATCTGTGTCTTCAAACAGCTCTAATCCAAGTCACAAAAACTCTGCAAAGCTGCCCAGCTCACACAGCCATGGGGGGAAAAAAGGCAGCCTACTATGGAATGCCAAATTTGCTCCACTGCAGGGGAACTGTGCAGGAACTTCTGGCCAAGGGAGCCAAGAAGGGGATGGGTAAATAAAAAATTACTTCTCTCCTCTTAATCTTTAATACCCTAACAGAGAGAGTCAGTCTTGTTTACTGGCAGCAGCATGCAGCAATTATACACAGCAGACTGTTCAGCAAACAGAGGAAGTACAACAGAGATATGAATCTCAAAATTAAGGAAGAAGTGGTCTTTCTCCAACATAATGTTCATAAACAGAAGTTCTGGCAAGCAAAAACTGTACTACACTGAAGGGAGGTGAGGGTGGTGCTGTCCTTGTGTTTCCATACTTACCCTGCCCCACAAATGGGGAAAATTGTACCATGTAGCCATTTCTGCGTGAAGATCATAACCTCTGCCTGAGCTAAAGCACAGCTTGTAGGACACATCTTGTGGCCTTGGCAGAGCACACAGCGAAGAGAGGAGATGCTTTGGGCTGTATGAACAGGCTGCTCCTCAAAACAGAGACGTGTTTGCAAACAGCATCCTAAAGATTTGGGGCTGAACACAGAAAGTGGTAACGCTGCTAGGAATAGAGACCCTTGGTCATGGAGGTCAGTCCTCAGAGGAGCCACCCACAAAACACTTGGAGAAGAGTTTTTACAGCTTTAACATCTCTGCTGGAAGAGTCCCTGGAAACAAAGATTCTGCTAAAGCTCCTTCACAATGGCAAATGGCAGTTCAAATGCAAAGGCCCTCAGAGGACCCAGGGAAAGGAGCAGAAGAGCACATACACCAAAGTGCAGTCTCTCAATACTAGGTGACACCGACAGGTCTAACAGAGCTGACCAGCAGCATCCCAGCCACCAGCAAAACAAAAAACTGATTACAGAAATCTCAGCACTGATCACATGTCCCACCAGGGCAGACAGGCTGCACTGAAACAGGTATTCAAGCCAAGACTCAACACTTTTTTTGCCCAGGTGTGGCTCAGCGTGTCACACCCAAGGCAGAGCATTGCCCAAAATACACACCCATGCAGAAGGTACACCAAAATAAGATTTTGTTAAGGCTGATGGATGTTTTCCAGGCACAGTGGAATAGTATAGCTTGCTTTGCCACGTGCAGAAGTTTTTCTACCATTCTTCCCACCATCCACTCTTGGAAAAGGAATTACACATCTTCACTCCCAGAAAGAGAGACTTCCACAGGCAGCGACCTTCTGTTGAAGGTTCACTGAGTAGACGCTGTACAACAGCCCTCCAGAAGAAAGCAAATAATTCTATCTCTGAAAAGGAACCTCCATCAGTACCCTCAGACATCCTCCAGAGAAGTTACCAAGGACACATCAATTCTGGGTAAGCAACTCCCCACAGAGTGGGCCTGGAAATGTAGTGGGACTCTGTGGCTTCATCCTCACAGACTCAGAATCAGAGGGGTCTATGCTGCAAGAGCACAGGCTCACAGACAAATTCCATATATACCCAATTATGGTATATAATCACCAGCACCCCCACCCCAGCTCTAATACAGTGCTTTTCATCCACTTTCACACATGAAGACTCATTCAACCTTTTTAAAGGTCTGTTATGATTTAAGAACATTGTAAACCATAATTGGAAAGTTTATCTTTTTATAGACTTTGTTATTATCCCTGGGCAGCTCTTGTTTAGTTTAACCTGTTTCATTATTTTCAAAAGACTAACAATGAAACACAACATGTTATGAAATAGAAATACACAGGATAATAATGGTAATTTGTTATAGCAAGTAACACTTAATGGAAAGTCTCAGAGCATCCCATACCTCATAAAACCCCCACAGTTTTTATAAGGAAGGCTCACATGCAGATTTATATAAATTAGTTTAATACATAAGGATGGATTATGTTTCCTGTGATGACCTTTTCCTGTTCAAATTGTGTGTTAAATATGGCAAACTTTATACAAAGAAATACCCGCTTTCAGTGCATGGTGGAATCTCCTTATAAACTCCACAGATGCATGTACTTCGTGCCAGGAAAAAGAGCATTTGCACTCCAAAAGAGGTGCAGCTGCATCAGTGGCACTAATGGCAATTAAGGCTGTATGTGGAAACAGCTCAAAGATTAATGAAAAACCTGTAGCAGTAAACAGAAAACAAGCCCTTTTGCAGTGGTGCTCCTGCAATGGCCAGTTTCCACCACAAAGTGCAAGAGCACTTCGTGCTGATTTGTGCTGCTAATCTTTCCACAGTACAGTACAATGCCTAAGAATTAAATGGACAATAAGGCTTAAATG